CGCCCCTTCCCCCCACTCCAGGCCCTACCTCCCCCACCCCCCGCTTCCCACCAGCAGCAGCAGCTCCTCCCGCCGGCAGGGGGCGCTCTGCGCAGGCGGTGCCGCTCTAGGGCGGTGTCCGCGCGCTCTCTATATCAGAGCTCCGGTTCCGGCCCGCTCCCCTTTGTGCTGGAGAAGATGGCGGCGCGGGCGGGCTTCCAGTCGGTGACTCCCAGCGGTGGCGGCGGCGGGGCCGCTGCCGGGGCCGGAGCGCTGGGCCCGGGCACGCCGGGCGGGCCGGTGCGCATGGGCCCGGCCCCGGGACAGGGCCTGTACCGCTCGCCGCTGCCGGGGGCCGCCTACCCGGTGAGGCAGGGGAGGGGCCGGCGGGGGCGTGCGGGCCGCTGCGGGGCGGGGCGGGAGGGAGCGGGGGCGGCGGGGACGAGGACGGGGCCGGCCCCCACCGGTGGGCACTGGAGCGGTTTTCTTCTTCCCCCCGCAGCGCCCCGGGATGTTACCGGGCAGCCGCCTGGCGCCGCAGGGCCCCTCCATGGGGCCGCCCGGCTACGGCGGGAGCCCGGCGGTGCGGCCCGGCATGGCGCAGGCCGGCCTGGACCAGGCCCGCAAGAGGCCCGCGCCGCAGCAGCTGCAGCAGGTGCAGCCCCAGGCGGTGCCCAACCGCAACCACAAGTAAGGGCCGGGGGCAGCGGGGGGCTCCGGGCGTCGCCGGGGTAGCGGGGGGGGGATGGGAGCTCAGGACATCCCTGGGACGACCCTGGGGCAACTAGGCTCGTGGGGCGTCCTCAGGTATCCCTTTGACAGCGGGGGGTTCTCAGGGCGTTGGTGTCCAGGGGATGCTGCCAGGCGTCCCCGTGGCAGGATATCCTTGGGCTTAGGATATCCTTGGGTATCCCTGAAATAGGAAGGGTCCCTGGAGCAGTGGGGGCTCTCAGTTGCTCCCCGTGCTCCTCCAGGGTGACGGAGGGCTTAGAGTATCATTGGGCATCCTCAGAGCAGCAGGGGTCCTGAGGACATCCCTGGGACAGCACAGGAGTTTTGGGTGCATTCTTGGGTGTTCCTATGGCAGCAAGGTTCCTCAGGACAGCCCCAAGGGCAAGGAGGAGTCTCAGGGCATTCTTGGGTCCAGGAGGTCTTCAGGGCATTCTCTGTGCATCCCCAGGGCAGTGAGGATGCTCACGGCATCCCCAGGTGGGTGCAGACATATTGCTTCTCTCCCCACAGAGCCCATAGGGCAAGATCTGTGTTTCAGGGTGTGGACAGGCATTGAAATCAGAGCGAGCTGCAAGTCCTCTCTGAAGGGGCAGGCGCTGACTTGGTGTCATCTGCTGGCTGCTTATAGCAGCACAAAGCTTTTCTGTGTGCAGGGCCAGGCCTGGGCCTCCCATTGCTGCTTTTTGTTGGGTGACTGAAAGAGACTTTGATGTTCTCATGCAGCCTCTTCTCTGGGAGAGGGGAGATTCCAGCAGATAAAAGAGTAATGTGTAGCTGCTGGACAAGAGCAAGTTTACGCTTGGTTTCTGGCAGTACAGTGTGATGCCTTGGTAATATTGGTAATGCATCCTGAATCTCCTAGAAAAGTCTGTCTAAAGCAAATTGAGCCATAAGCCCCTTTGGTTGCTCTGTCACTGCTTCCTTTTCAATAACGCAGCCCTGCTTTCAGTGCTTTCCTTGGGGATGTATTGAGGTGATCAGCTTTTAGGGCTGAGAGCATTGCTGATGTATGGTCCTAAACCAGACAAACCTCATCTCCTTTTGTGAGGGTCCACTGTTAATTAGCGGTGGTTGTCATTTTAATGCATTCCTTGCTTTGCAGTGCTAAGAAGAAGAAGATGGCAGACAAAATTCTACCTCAGAGGGTGAGTAGCATGTGCAGTTGACAGCTTCTGTAGATACAGAGATGTGGAGGAATCAACAGTGATTTGCATTTTTGATTGACCTTGTACTCTGCTGTAGATTCGTGAACTTGTGCCTGAGTCTCAAGCTTATATGGACCTGCTGGCCTTTGAAAGGAAGTTGGACCAGACGATCATGAGAAAACGCTTGGATATCCAGGAGGCATTGAAACGACCCATTAAGGTGGGCAAGGGATGTTTAGAGACTCTTACTGTAATCAGGAGAGTAGGAGGACTCTGAAGGTTGTGTCATATCCCTGTAAGCATATAAAGAACTGTAATGCTCAAGACTTAAGTTGGGGTAGAACCAGGACTGCCTCTCTGTGCTGTTTGTCCTGAGAGAGTGGATGTATGAGGAAAAGAAGAATATTAAGCTTAGTTTTAACAAAACATAAGCAAGATTCTCATCCCTTTGCTTCAGAATGAATACTGAGCTGATGCTTTTTCTTGCAGCAAAAGCGAAAGCTACGTATTTTTATCTCCAATACCTTCAATCCAGCCAAGTCAGATGCAGAGGATGGTGAAGGAACAGTGGCCTCCTGGGAGCTTCGAGTGGAAGGACGGCTGCTAGAAGACGTGAGTGTGAGGCACCCAACCACATAGTTGATTTTATGGATCTGGAATTGGCAATTGAACCAGTTTCCTAGTGTCTGGGAGCATAGCTAAGGGCTTGATATCCTCCTTCATCTCTGTTTTCTAAGGAGTCTGATGGTGACGAGACCGAGAGCCCAACTCGGAGACCGATGGGTATCCCCATGGCAGAACATGAGTTATACAAAGTTCTTATAGCTATAAGAATTAATGGTGAGAGCCTATCAGTGGCACTTGTGTACCCTGGCTCTTAAAACCAGGGCACTCGCATTTTATGTAATTGCTGAGTAAGTTAATTCCTCCAAGCTCATCTTTATCTCCAGTCTTTCACCATTTTTGACTTGGAACTTGATTTTCGAGTATGTATTGATGAATGTAAGTGTTCACAACTTAAAGGAACACTGTCATATGCCTTGCCTGTGCTTGAGTCCTGGAACGTGCTCTCCTGACTCCCTTCCTTCCTGTGTTGCTTGCAGTCTGCTTTGTCCAAATATGATGCCACCAAACAGAAAAGAAAGTTCTCATCCTTCTTTAAATCTCTGGTCATTGAACTTGATAAAGACCTCTATGGCCCTGACAATCACCTGGTAGAGGTGAGCTTGCTTCTTTTTGCTGTATTATCTCCACAAATGGGTTGCTGTTCCAGCAGATTGAATTTGTCTGTAATTAGTAACTTGTGAAGTGGGATATTTAAGGCTTTAACAGGTGGCTGGGAGCCAGGGCTGAATTCTCTTGAATTCTTACTTAGCTTTTCCACTGACTTGCCAGGGCTCTGAATAAATGCATTAACTCTTGTTTCAAACTATAAATGGGAATAAGATGAATCTTCTGTCGTGGGTGAGGTTGGGTGGCAAGCAGCAGGAGCAGAAAGAGTCGAGTGTGTGGGTGCAGCTAAATCCCCCTCCTGTTGCACGTATTCCAGTGGCACAGAACTGCTACAACTCAGGAGACAGATGGCTTCCAGGTGAAGAGGCCAGGAGATGTCAACGTGCGCTGCACTGTCCTTCTGATGCTTGATTACCAGGTGAGATGTTGGATAGCAGTGCTGGGCATACGTAGCATTTGCTGTGTCTGTGGCCATAAGTCCCATCTCACTTCTGTGCTTTTTCTTTCAGCCTCCCCAGTTCAAACTGGATCCCCGCTTGGCTCGTCTCCTGGGGATTCACACTCAGACTCGCCCAGTGATCATCCAGGCTTTGTGGCAATATATCAAGACCCACAAGCTGCAGGACCCTCATGAGCGGGAGTACGTCATTTGTGACAAATACCTCCAGCAGGTAATGGGATTTGTGGTGGGAATGAGCAACTGCTTCAGCTTTCCCTGGTCGGCAGGCAGTGGTCTCTGGCATGGCTTGTGTTCCTTCCCTTAGCCCTGTGTTTCTGTCACAGATATTTGAATCTCAGCGGATGAAGTTCTCTGAAATTCCACAAAGACTTCATGCACTGCTTATGCCTCCAGAACCAATCATCATTAACCATGTGATCAGGTGAGGCTGCTTTACTTGGCTTCATATTTCTAGAAAGAAGAGAGGAAAAGATGGATGAGGCTGGCACAGGAAGATGATGTGATGTGCTCTGATTTTTCAGTAGTAGTTTCCCTGCATTGCCTGCCATTATTTCTTTACACAGGAATGGGCACTTCTGACACTTACTGTATCCCTCTCTTTCACAAGGAACTCATACTGTCTTTCATTACACGTGTGTGGGTAGAAATTTGCTTGGAACAATCACTTAGTCCATATGCAGCAAAGACATCAATAAAGCCTTGCTGTATGGTGCTAGAGGTGAAGCTGACACTGACTTGGCTTATCCCTGCTGGCAGTTCTTATGCTGCATCACCCTAGAGCAGTCACAGTTTGACGTGATGGCTTCTTGAACTACTCACTCTTTCTGGTTCCTTTCTTGTGGATGCCCCCAGTGTTGATCCTAATGACCAGAAGAAAACAGCCTGTTATGACATTGATGTGGAGGTGGATGACACCTTGAAGACTCAGATGAATTCATTCCTGCTATCAACTGCCAGTCAACAGGAAATTGCTGCTCTGGATAACAAGGTAAGAAGAGCTCCTTCAGGTCTGCCTGAATGAATGAATCCTCATTACCAGATAGGAGTGTATCTGTGGAGCAAGATGAGCTCTGAATGTGACAGTTCAGCTTTGTTCTGTTGGGCATCTGGAAGCTGGAGTAGGGCAACAATGATTAGATAGATGGCTTTAACTGGAAGCAGGGTTTTAAAGCAAATGGGCAGTGGAAAAACCGGTAACCTTTGCAGCAAGAACTTGGGATAAGCCAACCAGAGAGTATAAGAATTCACCTTCACATGTTGGATCTCTATGTTTCTCTGACACTTTTCCCTATTCAGCAGTCCTGATGCTGTTCTTATCTCCTTCAGATCCATGAAACAATAGAGACAATTAACCAGCTGAAGACCCAGCGTGAGTTCATGCTGAGCTTTGCCCGAGATCCTCAGGGCTTCATCAATGACTGGCTCCAGTCCCAGTGCCGGGACTTGAAGGTAAAAGCTTTTCTTGTGTGGAAGGTGGATCCAGTCACATGCTTCCCTCATTATAACTAGCTCCCACAGAGTGAGAAAGGCAATTTCCTGCTCAGAAAGCAAGACTTGAACTGAAATCAAACATAAGGACTTGACCTGACTGAACTGAAGTTTCTTTGAGGCAAAGGGGGTGTAGTTTTGTTCAGCACAGAGCTTTTGTACTCCCTGAACTGCTTTGTCCTTTGTGCTTTCCAGACGATGACTGATGTTGTTGGGAATCCTGAAGAGGAGCGTAGAGCTGAGTTCTACTTCCAGCCATGGGCTCAGGAAGCTGTGTGCAGATACTTTTACTCCAAGGTGAGTGTCCCCAGACAGGAGACCCTTCCAGACCCAATGGCTTGGTGTACCTGCCACTTCTTGGGGCTCATGCCCTGGTGAAAAGGGGCAGTGTTAAGCGTTGCTTTCAGACACTGCTAATGCATTATGATCACAGTTTGTGCTCAGCCCTATCCAGATGGGCCCTGTGGTACTTGAACACTGCACTGCTGTCTGTGTTAATGCTGCAACTCTTCTCTTCCAGGTTCAGCAAAGACGGCAGGAGCTGGAGCAGGCCCTGGGGATCCGCAACACATAGGCCTTCATCTCCTCCCAAACCAGAAGGCATCAGAGCTGCTTGTGGAGACAGGGTGCTTCAGAGCACACAGTTAAGGCTCACTAACCACGCTGTGGTGCCAAGGCCTGCACCGTCATCCATCCTGGCATTGTCTCTGCTGGGGCAGCTCTACGACCTGGGGTCTTCTGGGGTGTGGCAAGCAGACAGGCTCCAACAAGTACACACTTCTACCTGGTTTTCTTCCTGACTGTTGCCTTGTCAGTCCCAAGGCTTCCAAGAGCCTCCCCTTGACCCCGTGCTGCCTGTAGTGTCCCCAGTAGCCAGTATGAATGCTGACTTTGAGCTCCTCTCAAGTTCAGAAACTCTTCCTCTTCCCGTTCCTCTTCAACTAGCATCTAGTTGTGGCACACGTGAGACCTGACTGGGAAGTCAGGATCTGCTCAAAGGGCGGAGTTCTGTGGCTAGTCTGGTCTCTGCCTCAGTTAGTAGCAAGGTACCAGGAGATGGAGTGGGCAGGATGCTGACATACCTCCAGCCCTCCCCTCCCTCGCTGGGAGGGGGCTGCTGCACTGGGCTGCCTCACAGGTCACTCTCCTCCTTGAGGAAGTTACTGGACTGTATAGAGAATTGTTTCTTCCCTTGTCCCTTTTTCCTTGTCCTGCTCCCTTCACGTTTATGAAAGACTGCCTTGAGCTGGGAATCACAGGGGAGATGAAGCATGTCTTACTGCACAGATGTGGAAGTGCTGGAGAGCTGAGAAAAAGACTCTGCTTATGGTTCCAGCAAGCCAGCTGGCTGCTTGCTTTCCCTGTAGTGGGGAGGGAATGCAGCAGCTGCCCAGTGCAATTGTGCAGGGGCAGACTACTGTATGCTCATTCCTTTGGGACAGTTATCATGTGTCATTTGCTGTGGGGACCAGAGGTTCCTTCCTGTGGATCTGGGAGTGTGGATCCATCCCTTGGGAGTGGAGGTAGCCCCAAGCATGCATTGAGTTAACAGATGTTTCCATGCTGAAACTCTTGTGTTTTTTAGTCAAGTTATGGATCAGGAATGTACAAGTAGACTTTTACCATGGGGAGTAGCAGCCCTTATGCCTCTTCGTGGAATTATTTACTAGTGAACCAGTGGTCAGGTGTAAGAGAAGGACCTCTCTCAGCCTAGATCTCAGTATTTCTGCTTGGAACTGTAATGCAAATGGACTGTAATACAAAGTTGGTCATGTTCTCTTGGAACAGCTGCAAAACCATGTTACTGACAACCCCCCCCATCCCTGCACCTGGCTGTGGTGTGGTTGGGAAGGTTGCTGTGATTCTGGGAGCCCTACTCGTGTCTGTGTTCCCACATGTCTGTGAGTAATAGACCCTCCCCTTCTCCTTTGCCCCCTTTTGAAACTGCTCCTCTGTGGTACTGGGGTGAAGGTCTTGGTGCTGATGAAGCAGCCCACTGACTCCTCAGGGTAGTTGCACATGAAGGATGCTGAACACTGCGTAGGCAAACATAGCTGTTGCAGAATAACTGCTTTTCTTAACTATTGTTTTTTTTTTTCCCATGGACCAAACTTTTTTTTTTTTGTACTGTATCCTTGTAGATGTCACCCAGTTTTAATAAAAGCCTGTGAAGGAAGCTGTCCTCCTTCAGTGCTGACAGTACACTTTCTCTCAGCAGCTGCCTTGGTGGATGACAACTCGTGTATTTGCCTGGGAAGGGAGAAGATTAATTTCACTTTTTAAACAAAGCCAGCTGGTTTAAGGAACTGCAGAGAAAATGTTCTTCCCACTTTAGCCTTTTACACAGAGCCTTTTGTGAAAGGATCTCTGGCTGATGGAGTCCACTGAGCCTTTGCAGGGTGCTTTCGTGGTAAAAAAAAACAAAGAATTTTGAGCAAAAGGGAAATCCAGTGGCCAAGCTGCTGATGAATACTGGCCAGCCTAGTGCCTGCACCGCAAAATTTGGAGACAGGTTACCTGGATGGGTTAAAAGCCAGGCAGGAGGGGCTTTGCCCTTAGGTAATGCTTTGCACAAAGCTTGAGGACGCTCGTGGGATCTGAGCACAGAAGCAAGGGCAGCTCCTAAGGTCAAGCAGTCAGCGCTGCTGCTTACCGCTGAGGTTAAGGCTGGGTCGCGTTCTGGGTCTGCAGTCAGACAGTTCATGTTTCCTATTGGGGGGGGGCAGGAGGGAAGGCGCTTAGCGGGAGGAAAGAAATGGCTTTTCTGCAGAAAATGGAGAGGGACAGAGAGAGCAGGACAGCCGTACCGCCGGCTGCGAGCGACCTGAGCCGCTCCTCCTCCGCTCCGGGGCAGCGAGCAGCGCGGCCGGGCCGGTGCCCGATTCGACGGGGCGGATCGGGGCGGGCGGGGGGCGGGCCGGGCCGGCCCCACCGGGCACAGCCTTCAAATAGCGCCCTTGGGCTCCGTGCTGCGCAGCGCTCTGCGTCCCTGAGCCATGGGTGGCAAGAAGGTTTGCATCGTGGGCTCCGGCAACTGGTGAGCGCCCGCCAGGTCCCCCCATCCCAGCTGCCGTCCCGGGGCGCTGCGTCATTCCCGGTGCCTTGGGATCTCCTCGGTGCCGGCAGCCCCGGTGCCCCCCGCCCACGGCTCCGTTCCCTCCCTCCACACGCAGGGGTTCGGCCATCGCCAAGATCGTGGGCAGCAATGCGGCACGGCTGGGCACCTTCGAAAACACGGTGAACATGTGGGTGCTGGAGGAGGAGGTGGGCGGCCGGCGGCTCACCGAGATCATCAACACGGAGCACGAGAATGTCAAGTACCTGCCGGGGCACAAACTACCCCACAACGTGGTGAGTGCCTGCTGGTGGCCTGCTGTGGACGAGGGCCGTGTTTTATCACCTTGATGACAGGTAATAAATGCTGCTGTGCTGTCGCAGCCCCATGTGCCAGCAGCGTGAAGGAAGGGGTGTGGCGGGGCTCCTGCATTCCCGGTGACCTCGTGGCACACTTTGGGGTGAGCTGCTGCCCTGGTTGTTCTCGTTGCCCACCTCTGCCCCTGCTCTGGCATCTCACCTGCTGCTCTCAAGGCCACAAGCTCTGTGTTGCTGCCTCCAAGCTGGTGTGCAGGGAGCCAGGCTGAGCCTTTCGCTCTGAGGTTCTCCAGTCCCTCTAGAAAGGGAGCGTGGGGCAATTTGTCCCCAAAACCCCCTGCTCCCCTTGCTGTGGGTTAGGGCAGGCCCCCCTCTACAAGCATTGGGGACAAGTTTCTGATGGCAGCTGTGCTGTGCAGGTGGCAGAGCCTGACCTGGTGAAAGCCTGCTCCGGGGCTGACATCCTCCTGTTCGTGGTGCCCCATCAGTTCATCGGCAAAGTCTGCGACCAGATCAAGGCCCATGTGAAGAAAGGTGCAATCGGGATGTCGCTCATCAAGGTGTGAGCAGAGCCAGGAGGGTGATGAGCTTTTCAAGGAGAAATTGGAATCATAGAATCTTAACGTCATAGGATTTTTTGAGTTGGGAGGGACCTTTAATGGTCATCTAGACCAACACCCCTGCAGTGAACAGGGTTTGGGTTTCGAGCGGTGCACTGCCTTGGAGGGATCTGGAGGTATTATGGGGTAGGAATGGGTGAGGGCCCATGGGTGAGGAGTGGGGTGCAGCTGAGCATGGGGGGCTGCTGGGATGGCAGAATTGGGGTGAATGGGCCAGGACTCCCAGGCCATGAGCTCATCTCTGCTCCTGGTTGTCTCCCAGGGGGTGGATGAAGGACCAGATGGGCTGAGGTTGATCTCAGACATCATCCACGAGAAACTGGGAATTGAGATGAGTGTCCTCATGGGGGCCAACATTGCCAGTGAAGTGGCAGAAGAGAAGTTCTGCGAAACAACCATCGGTAAGGAGCCAACATCTGGAAGGTCCTGCCAGCACTGACTTTGAACATCTGGCAGTCAGCCTGGTTCAAATGAATGGGGTGGGCACAGGGGAGAACCTTGAGGAAATAGTTCACTCCCTTTCATTTCACTGAGCTTCAAAGGACACTCAACTGAACTCGTGTTGCTGCTAGCCAGGGCTGCTTCAAAGTTCACCTGGTGGCAGCTCCTGCCATCCTCCACACTGTTTGTGAATCACACACAGCAGCCAAAACCAACAGAACTGTTCTCTGGGTTAGAAGTTACAAGATTCAAAGTGTCTGTATTTAGAACAAAAGCAAACAAGCCATGCAGGAGGCTGAAGAGGTGTAAGCAGAGCATGCTGTCACTGTGAACACGCAGAGATGCTTTGGTGCAGGGCACTGCAGGGAGAACAGCAGTCTCCAAACCCAAATTTTGCAATCTCTGAAGATGCCTTTAAAAGTGGACGTGCCAATTCTGTGGTAGGGATCATCCCTGTCTTCTGGGAATTCCAAGTTTGAACCTTGGTTATCTGCCAGGCAATGCACTTGGCACTCTGTGGGCCTGCAAATGTTTAGCCATGTCCATCATTTGGGCAACGGATTCCTCTCGCTGTGCTGAATGCAGCAAGACCACATGGGTAGGCTGGAATGCAGTTTTCCTTTAGGGTCTGCTCCATCATCTTGTCCCTTCTTTCTCATTGTCTCATTAGGCTGTAAGAACGCACAGTACGGGCAGATCCTGAAGGAGCTGATGCAGACACCAAACTTTCGGGTCACAGTGGTGCAGGAAGCTGACACTGTAGAGATCTGTGGTGCTCTGAAGGTGGGTGAGCTGCTCACTGTGGTTTGCAGGGCTTGAGCTCTGCAGGGAGCACTGAGTGATCTCCTTTGGTTATTGCACTCCAGCTTGCAGAGACAGCTGGGCAGAAGGCCTGGCTTCAGAGGGAGCTCTGTGCACATCCTGCTCAGCTGCTTGGAGGGTGGTGGTGACCGGACAGGCAGGGGCAGGCAGCAGTCTGTTGATGGGATCACACTGGCACCTGTGGATACAGCAGTGCCCTGGGCTTTGCTGGGAACACATCACTGTGCTGTTGTTTTCCAGAACATTGTGGCTGTTGGGGCTGGTTTCTGTGATGGTCTTGGCTTTGGAGACAATACAAAGGCTGCTGTTATCCGTCTGGGGCTGATGGAGATGATTAGCTTTGCCAAGATCTTCTGCAAGGGCCCTGTCACCCCTTCCACCTTCCTGGAGAGCTGTGGGGTCGCTGATCTCATCACCACCTGCTACGGTGGTCGCAACCGTAAAGTGGCCGAGGCTTTTGCCAAGACTGGGAAGGTGAGCAGAGCAGGGAGCTGCAGTGAGGGGAGCCTGAAACCTGCAACAATGTGGGGCCAGTTAGCACCAGGATATTGGCCTTCACTTTCCCAGTGTCATAATCCAGCTCTGGGGAATGGACATGGGGTAGTGGATGGCATGACAGCGTCCAGCTCCCTCTCTGTTGGGTTGTTGTAGTCTATTGAGCAGCTGGAGAAGGAGATGTTGAATGGGCAGAAGCTGCAGGGTCCCCAGACGTCTGCTGAGCTGAATCACATCCTTAAAACCAAGAACATGGTGGATAAGTGAGTGATCTCATCTCCCTTGTTTGCTTTTTTGTGGCTGGGCTGGGGATGGAACTCCCACCTGTCTCCCTCACTGTCTGCACCCAACGAGCTGCAGTCCCACCTGCTGCTGCCCAGTGCACCAGGTGCTGTGACTCTGCTCTGAGAGATTGTGTTGGTCTGTCCGTAGGTTCCCCCTCTTCACAGCTGTCTATCAGATCTGCTATGAGGGCAAACCTGTTTCTGATGTCATCAAGTGTCTCCAGAACCACCCTGAGCACATGTAAATGGGCTCTGCCTGCAAAACCATGGATCCTGCTGAGAAGAGGGGTGAGCTCCCACCTACACCAACGTTGCTGCTGCTACAGCTTTGTGAGGAGTCCAGACTTCTGGGAGCCTTTGCAGAGTACTGCAAGGGCAGAGGTTCCCCTTGTCAGACATGTAGACTGCCAATTTGAGCCTGGCATCTGCACAGAGGCATCTGCTGATCTCCCTCT